GTTCTCCTGCTTGGCCAATGATTTCAAGGTCATCATACGTTCTTCGTGACATACCTTTTCGACAAATGCGAAAACTTTCTTTTATAAATATCACAATAAATGAGAGATAAAAGATTATTTACATTGATATTACTTTAATACTGAAATTATAGCAATATGCCTGTGTAAGTGTAAGACTGTTTTGAAAATACATCTAATTCGCATATCAATTTGTAAATTTACCAAAAAATAACATATTGCTCTATTAACAGTAATTAATAAATATATACACTTTTGTGCTGTTTGTATAAATCATATATTTTTTTACCTCTGCTGGAGTCGAGGTAGAAGGAGAACGTGTAGCGATATTAGAATTAAGCATGGTCGTGCTGCTCAAATTATTATCTAGAATAAAGTTTCTAAAAAAAAAAAAAATACTTGCAATAATTCAAAATTCGGCAAAGCATGTTCTATACTTACTTTATTATAATTTATTATTAAAAAACAATTTTTTTATGTCACTTTTTATTAATAATTAAATATTAATAATATACTAATAGAAAATTTATTTTATTTTATTTCCGCAAATTTCTTTACGATTTACCTCTTTTCAACCTGTGCTTTTAAACTTGGTTCATCTTCTAAAATCATTGCAATTTCTTTTGATAAAAACCTTAATACATCCGAAAGGGTGTCAGCTTTTGGTGCCGGTTCTTGAATATTTTCATCTAGATTGGTCGCACGATTTTGCGATTGTAAATCTACAGATCCATGGACAACAGAGCTCCTCCGCAATTGGGTTTTGGCACGCGTTTTATCCACATTTTGTATATTGCCCATAATGTTCTTGGGCACAGTACCATCTGAAAAAATTCACAAATAAAAAAATTTTTTTTTAATTCATGCTTGCGCATACAACTCTCTTTGGGTCTTCATTATACTATCTTAAAGTACTAACTATGTGGCTTCCTCATTTTATCCTTCCACATTTGGATGCTTGAAAACGTTCGTTTTTTAACATCGTCTGTAAGATGCTTCATTTTTCGATCATCGGATGATTGTGCGACGCAGGGCGGGTATCGCGACAAAAATCGCTGCTTTCTGGTTTCAGAATAAGCTCTAAATAAAATATAATTTATTAATTTATTAATGTCACGGTAAATATAGAAAAAACGTTACGTACGTTATTTGCGTTTTATTTATTTGAATTAAGAAAGAAATTGAAAAGAAAAGAATATAAGAATTTAAATTTACAAAAACCATGACATTTTGTTTTATAACAGACATAAAAGTAAACATTAGACGAGGTCAAATGTAATGGCATAGCAAAACTCGAATATCCTCCCTAATATCTGTTACAATTTTGAAAGTAAAATCTGAACAATTTATCCATGCCACATTTTTCTTTTATTCTGTATTTTAAACTAAGTAATATACAAATAAATTATATCATACTTTTTGTATATAGAGAGATTTCTTAAAATGTGGATTAATCATACGTATAGGAATTACCTCCGATGAAATAATTTGTTATTCATCTCGGTCTCATTCAAAGGAACTATTTGGCGAGAGTTGCTTGAAGAACGTGCTCTGTAGAAAAATAAAAATTTGTTCCTTTGCATTAGCTCTTCTAACGTTAGCTATTCTAACGTTCTTTATTTTGTGTTCTCCTTACCTGCGTAACACGACGCTTAGACGTGAAGGAGTATCTGCTTTCGTTGTCGATACGATTGCTTTCTCGAGCGTTCTATCTTGCCTCGCTCTAATTTCTTTTCTGCATACGTCTTTTTTCACGCGCGGGCATGATCGTGCGTTCTCATCATTGCCATCGGAGTAAATCCGAAATTTTGCCTCGCCGACGGAAGAACAGCCTTGCACTAACGTTGTACGAACGGCACGATTTTCTGCGTTGAGCGATAAGCCTTTTTTCTTTGCGCCGCCACCGTCATTCCTGCCTTCGGTAGATTTGCCATTTTGTACCGTTGAATGCGACACATTTTCCTTATCAATGCCATATTTCAAGGCAAATAGTTTGCGATCCAACAGAGGAATCCTTCCCGACATGATTTGGCTTCCAGAAATGTATGTAAGCTAATTTGTCATCGATTAAGAACAATTAAATATAATATTTTCAATATGTACTATAATAACAATTAATATTTTATTATCATGTTTAATATATAATATATTCAATATGTATAAATTGAATAAGTATACATATTGAATATATTTCTCTCATATCTTTAACATAATATTACATCAAGTACTTTAATTATTAATTTGATGACAAAAACTGAAAAGTCACAGATCGGTGGAAACACTTTGACAAACCGCGATTTTAACTTGTTGTCGATGGCAACTCTCGAACGAGACTGGCAGAGAAATCAGCAAATCCTAGAACCTACGAGTGTTTGCCCTGACCGCAAAATACCGTTCGTCCTACTGATGTAAACAAAGCTATGTGAAATCATAAACACGAGACGAAGAATTTGAAATTTGAAAGAATAATTCGGAGGGATAATCTATCCGTTATTTATTTTGAGTTACTTTGATTTAAATCGGAAAAAAATAAAAGATGTAGAAACATTATAGTTTTAGACGACTGTATGTTTGTCAAATTTTATTAAACAAAATATAACATTCTAACGATGTAACATATTCAATTGTGGGTTATTCATTCTTAGCTTGACTCGTTTGGAAAAATTGTTGAAAATAACGCGCTCCATAGCGCAGACAAAAAAGCTAATGAGCAACGCGGCGATTATGAGGAGCAACAGAGGTATTATGTCGCCGATCTCGACCGATTTCCACGATGATTTCACCTGTAATCAGAGACAA